AGAAAGAAAGAGAAAGAAAGAAAGATCTTCAAAACAGCTATGAGGGATATTGCTTTTGTGAACTGATGGTCAGCTCTCTGGGGACAATGTGTCCACTTTTTTTTTTTTAAGATTTTATTTATTTAATGGAGAGAGAAAGAACATGAGCAGGAGAGAGAAGCAGACTCCCTGCTGAGCAGGGAGCCTGATGCGGGGCTCGATCCCAGGACCCTGAGATCATGACCTGAGTGGAAGGCAGATGCTTAGCTGACTGAGCCACCCAGGCGCCCCAATGTGTCCTCTTTCTTATCTTAGATTTACTGCAAGGCTTAACAGTGCTGTGCTCCTGCCAGTGTTCATTCATTCACTGAATCAATGTTAACGAATATTAAACTCCTGAAGTCCTCTGTAATTGCTGACAGCACCCTACAGAATTTGCTGTGAGATGTACATAAACTGTAACCTGCCAAAATAAACCCCAAAGCTGATTTGGGAGATATAATTAAGGACAACTGCCTTTGCTTTTTAGCTCTGAATTAGATTTAAAATAAACAGTGTTGATTCCAGAATGGAATGTGTATAAAGAGTTTATATTTGTCTTATTTGGTATTTTATAACAAGATTTTAATAGGTCTTCCATTTTGATCTCATTTGCTGTGATCCAATGTGACTACAATAGGTTGGACAAACTGCAAAACTCCTAAAAGAATGGAGCAGTGTGGAACAACTGTCGTGATTTCAAGTGACATCCCTTTTGCCTAGTCCATTGTCTAATTGTATTTCAGCTGCATACATATTTTCTAACTTAGATTTATTTTTCATCCGCGGGATATGCACAGGAGCCCTTATCTTCAGGCACGCTTTTTGCCCTATCACTTTGGCAATCTGAATCACCCACACAAGTTCAAGGAAAGTCCTGCGAACATAACAAGTCCTTATCCAAGTCCAGAGTATTTTGTTCACCTAGTTTACTGCCTTACCATCTGCCCTTCACTTCTGAAGGACTTGCAATAAAGCAGGAGCCAAAGTAAAAGCAGATACCCCACTGCTATCTATTTAACTTTCATTAAGTGAGTTGGTGCAGTGCTCAGGCGCCTTCTCAAAACCAGCCCATCATCTAAGAGTATTTACATAAGACTCTTTGCATTATATTCCGACCTCTGCAACATTAGTATTAACTACTGACATCTGCCAAGTCTGACTGGTAAGTGCTTTACAGTATCAATTCATCCCAAGCAAAAAGCATTTCTGAGTGCTGCAGTGCTCTTGTTAATGCCAATAAGAAGTATCAAGGCTCATATGACACCTAGCAGAAATTAGTACCCACATTCAAAGAAAAGTCTTTGTTATTTCCCAGAGTATTATGTGGACTTTATTGAGATGACTGCATCTGACACCTGCTGTAATATAAAATGCAGCTATAATTAGCCAACTGATGCTCACTGCAGTTTAGGTCGAATCCCTTCTGTGGGAATTATGCTTTAAAATATTCAGAACTCCAAGTGGCTCTCATTACATTTAATTTTAACTTAGAATTAGGTGGTCTAGAAAAAAAAATTTAGGATTGTAATAGCCCCCTGCTGAATGCCACACAGCAACGTGAAAACCCATAGGGTTTTTCCCCCCTCTAAATTAAAAAAAAAAAAATGAGAACAGCAGACTACACTAGAGCCTCCATTGAAGTCTGGCTTTGCTTAATTGTACTTTTTGCACTCATGAGTCTCTCCTCTTCAGAGCAAGCTACAAAAATTGCCTGAATAGCCAAAGAAAAGTTTCCCACAGTCACTGGCCACAGAAAAACACTATTGTCCTTCCTCACAGTTTGATGGACAACATTTCTATAAATGAGTAGCCAGGCTGTCAATGGTACCCTTGCTGAAAAGGCAAAAGAAGAGAACAGATTCTGCCAATATCTGACAAAGCATGTTAACGCATAATCAGGCATTCACTAGTCAGGCAGCTGCCCCTGGGACCTTCATCATACAGGTGCCTTTAAGCCATTTCCTATTCACAGATAAAGGAAACAAGCAGGAGATACCTGGGAAAGGAGCAGTCCATTATGGCTTGCCAAATGTCCATCTTCTAGGCTGTGTGTATAAAAGTAGAAAGAAGAAAAAAGGAAACTGTGGTTTCCATTGAAAAACTGTAAAACAGCAGAACATTTACAAAACCTATCATTTAAGCTGTGCTGTTTCTCCCCTTTCCTTTTCTCTTTATTTTATTTTTTTAGAAGGGGTGGATGTGTTTGTTTGTTTGTTTGTACAGCATAGAGCACTCGTGTCTAATAACAGAGGTCTGTTTTCCTCAGTGGTTTGTCAGATTCATTTGTCCAAATGTCCCTTCACATGCAGGCTGAAATACTTACCTGGTCTAATTGAGCAACAAAGTATCTACTTTGTCACCTTAAGTGATTTTTTTTTCTACACACAAACACACACACACACACACACACACACACCACACTCACACAAACATACACACTCCATTTTAAGGTCTGACATCAGTGATGCCAAAGTGGTAATGGGGTAGATGATTCTCCAGTAAAGCAGAAACTCTGGACGATCTCTTGAGGGGTCACCAAAATAAATATTCAGGAGAATGATTACCACTGTTCATTTCTTCATAACTGCTTAGACTAAGAACATTAGTATCATACTGCTCTGATCTACCCAGTTAGAGAAAGTATCAGACCTTAATACTTCATTAAGCCAAAGGCCCTATCAGCCTATATATAGCACATTTAATAAGACAATTTCAGATTAAAATTGCATGATTACCACCTTAAGGCTGTTAAATATGAATTTCTATTTTATTTCTTCATTTTCATTTTATTTATTACCATACTCTCAGATTTCTTATACTCAATGTATGGTACAGATATGGGAAAGAACCAGGAGTACAATTTTGGGAAGTGATTAGATCCTCAGGGACCTTAGATTGACTAAATGTGGTCCTTGTGATACAATTTTAAGATCTGACACACTCATAACCATATTTTCCTCTAAGAGGCAAAGTACTATAAAACCACTGGGGAACAACAAAGTCAACACAGTGATATAAACCAAATGTCATGAATTAAAGTACTGCTTTTTCAACTAACTTCTTGAGTGGTACTTATTTTCTATAGCTTCCTCATCTGAAAAATAGGAGTGCACTGCTTACCACAAACAGTTTTGGGGAGTAGTCACTGATGAAAGTTTCTGCCTTTGGTGTAGGAAGAGAGAACATCTGCTAAGTGGAACAAACCCATCAAGGATCATGAACGCTTTAGAAATATAACATTGCATTCTCTGACCTAAATTTATTTTCTTCTATTTCTTCTTTTTACTTATTCTAGAATAAAAATAATAATGAGGTAAAGTTTAGTTAATAAATCATTAATAAATTAAGATTTATTAATTTTATAATTTTTACAAATACGTGAAGACAGGAAATTTTCCTTAAATTTAACTCAATTCAATAATATTTATATTTGCTTATAATCATTGCCATTACTGCTACCATACCTATTACATGCTAGGTAATTTATATATGTTTCATTATTTAATGACAACTCTGAGGTAGATATAATTATTATTGCCATTTTATTTATTAAAAAAATTTTCAGGGACGCCTGGGTGGCTCAGTTGGTTAAGCATCTGCCTTCAGCTCAAGTGATGATCCCAGGGTCCCAGGATCAAGTCCCACATCGGGCTCCTTGCTCAGCAGGGAGCCTGCTTCTCCCTCTGCCTGCCGCTCCCCCTGCTTGTGCACTCTCTCAATCTGACAAATAAATAAATAAAATCTTTAAAAAAATTTTTTTTAGGGGTGCCTGGGTGGCTCAGTCATTAAGTGTCTGCATTTGGCTCGGGTCATGGTCCCGGGATCCTGGGATTGAGTCCCGCATCAGGCTCCCTCCCTGCTCAGTGGGAAGCCTGCTTCTCCCTCTCCGACTCCCCCTGCTTGTGTTCCCTCTCTTGCTGTCTCTCTCTGTCAAATAAATAAATAAAATCTTAAAAAATTAAAAAAATTAAAAAATTAAAAAAATTTTTTAAAAAGTAAACTCTACCCACACATGGGGCTCAAACTCACAACCCCAAATCAAGAATCGCATGCTCTACCAACTAAGCCAGATAGGTACCCTTATTATTGCCATTTTATAGTTGGGGAAATTGAGGCTCTAGAAGATAGAGTAGTTTAACCTTCTCTACTTCTCTATCAAGTTGTAGACTTTGGATATGACTCCTTCCAAAGACCATGCTTTCTCTATGAAAACATGGTTCATGTTTTAATTAATAGGACAAAATGAATTTTTGTTTTTTCATGATTTGAAAACACAATATGCTCTCTTATTAGGTAGCAATATGTACATATTTATATTTTATATATGTGTGGGTTTCTTAATCATTGTAACATAAATTAAATCAACCTCTTATCTCCAGGTAGAATAACCAAAAATTTTTCGATAATTGAAATCAAGTTTATTTTTCTTAACTATTTCTAGGGAAAGCATTTTCATCGGTGACTAAATTTATACGTGAAAATTTTAACCAAAGACTACTTTTATCTCAAAGGCATGGTCTATCTCACCAACCAAATTGAAACTCCCTAAGTCTAAAAGAAACCCAGTCTTCAGCTTTCTCAAAAAATTTTTTGTAATAAAACATAATCTCTTAGGAATTTCTTCTTCAGGTGTGTCCTTAAAACTCCTATAACTTAAAACACTCTTTTATTCTGGTTTTGGTTGAATCCACAGTTTCTTACTATTTCCCACCAGGTCAAATATAAATATTTTGGACTAGTGTTCAAGTTCACAGAAAACTAACCCTAATGGGCCACTTCAACTTTTAATTTTACCCTTTACTCCAGTTGAGCAAATCTCATCTCTGCTTCTTCCTTGCTCATTCCCATTTCTGACTTCTTAGTTGCTATGTTTCTTATTAGAAATACCTTCTTCCTTCCTTCCTTCCTTCCTCCCTCCCTCCCTCCCTCCCTCCCTCTCTCTCTCTCTCTCTTTCTTTCTCTCTTTCTCTCTTTCTCTTTCTTTCTTTCTTTCTTTCTTTCTTTCTTTCTTTCTTTCTTTCTTTCTTTCTTTCTTTCTTTCTTTCTTTCTTTCTTT